GTGTGTGTGTGTGCGTGTACGCTCCCACCTGCACATATACAGTGCCATCACTCCAGTAATCAGCCTCCACGCGGGCCTGATTGAATAATAAATCACCCCATCAATGCATCATTACATTCAGTTAGATTAAGCGCCTCAAAATATTTACCCATGCAAAACAATCCAAGGAGATTAGACTATCACTTTAAATTGTCGCTCTGTGCGGCGCACAATCAAGGGTGGGGGAGGTAGTCATGAGAGAGCGAGGGGGGTAGACGGGGAAGAAAGTTTAGCTCCTTCACCTAATTTTCATGCAGAATCACAAACATCATATGCATTTGGATGCCGGTGGAGGAGTGTGTGCTTGGCAGGGGAGGGTAAGTGCGGAACGCTACAAAACATCACTCCCTTGTGGATTTGGTTTGTAAGCCTCTTTCACACTAGAAAAGGCTTGGAAGGAAACTGGGATGTTTACTAATGACAACAGCATCATTTTGAAAGGGAAAAAAAAGGAATCCTAAAACCGTAGTGGCTTTGTACACAGTCTGGTGAACACATTAACATAATGTGGTAAGGTAACCGTGATAGTCTGGAGTTTTACATGCTGATGGAGAGCTTATCTTTGCCAAAGTTGGTTATAAAATTTGAGGCATGTCTTGATAAAAAAAATTAAAAATACAATTTGACAGTGATAGAGTTGTTCAACAAACAATGGGTAGTCTCTGACACTACTTCTAAATGCACAGGGGTTCCAAAATGAAATGGTTTCTGCCATTCAGTAGGGTGGCTCTGAGCCCAGTGGTTTTAGATGACTATGTCCAGCCCGGCCTGACTGTAGGCTGGGCGTTTGTTGGCAGGAATCCGGGCTATTTCTTCCTGTGGAGGAGTGGATGATAAGGGGAGAGAGCCAAGCAGACCTCTGTACACTGCCTCCAGAATCCAGCCTGGAGGAGAAGCAATCTATTTCTCAGCCACACACACACAAGTGTAGATAATACTTTATAGCTCAGTGTAACTGTGTGTGTTTGAAGCAGATGGGTGGCTTTGGGTAAATAGGGGGGAAAAGTCCCAGGTTTATATCTTCATTCCACTTTAGGAAATGAAGGCGAGCGATGAATCGATAGAAATGAATCGAGAGTGTAGGCGGTTTTGGATCAGAGGGCGAAGCGGTTGTGAAGGACTGCAGGTCACTGAGACATATTACAGGAAGGCCAACAAAGACAGTAATATTTCTGTTTTATTGTGCAGCTGTGTGGGTGTCATGTCTCCCTGAAGTTTAGGCTCCACTTATCAACAACAACACTATTTACTGTCACTGCACTTAATGTCCAACACGGTGCTCTCAGTATGAACTGTATCAGTGGATCATGCTTCAGGATAATACGGCATGGGTCCTCGCTTTGGACGTAGGGAAAGAAATTAAAATCAGCATGGCATTCAGAAGACATACTGAAATGATCAGAAAAGTTACTGAGAGTACAGTAGGAACTTTAGAGTTTATATTGTCATATGGAAAGAGGATGTTTTTATATATATATATATACTATATGTATAATATAACCATCAATAGGAGGGCAACTTTAGAGCTTACTGTTCGAAGCGCAGGTGGCGAATGTCTCCCTGATTAATTTTGACGATACAATCGTTCTCCTTGAAGAGACGCTCCTGCTCTGCTTTGCCCCCACGCTCCAGACGCTTCACTAGCAGGCCCTGAGTCCTGGAAATGATCACACAGCAGCTTAGAAATAAAACATCATTTAGACACATCCTGCAGCAATTACACAACACATAGTCACATATCATACATAAGTACTGAACAACAGGCAACAAGTTGCAAGTCTTGTCCCTTGCATCCTTACATTTAAAAAGGTAATGGCACCCCATAGAGTCTAGAAAAGAAGGCATGGAGGAAGAAGAAGACGTGAATAATAAAGATAAGCTAGGTGGTTAGCATTATCCAAAGAATGAAGTAAATGAGAAAGAGAGAATGAGATGGTAAATATCCAGAGTTGAAATCAGTTTTTTTTTATGGTGGTTTATAGTGAGCAAGTGTAAAAGATCATGAAGCTTAACCATTCAGATTTACAATTGTATTACTTTCAAAGTTGGGGAAAGTAATTGAGTTTAAAAAATCACTTTAGCCTTATAGTAATGTACTGTATTTTTGTACTGTCACCAAAAGTTAACTTTTCAAACTTTAAGCTTGGATAAAGACCTGCGGCCTGGAAAAGCACCGCATTACTATCTAGATTTTAAGCCTCTGTCCGTGTCTCTGTCCTCCACTCTGTCTGCCTTTCTTGGGCATGTTTGAGTGAATGACAGGGCGGTTTGTTTGAGGTAATCCAGACCAACAGCTAAGAGATCATCTTAGGGCTTCAGAGGAAACGCTGCAGTTGCCTTCACTGAAGCTTAAGACGAGAGCTGGCAGTGCTGTAATAAATACCCAGGCAGTTCTACGGCAGTGCCATCTCAGCACTTCTCAAAAAAGGCAACCTTTACCTTCAAATATACCCCCCCCCCCAAAAAATAAATACATCAGTGAGCTCCTTTGGGGCTTTAGTTAGGCCCTGAGGATAACCACATGCAAAGAGATCTGATGTGCGCTCGCAATTTCCATCCGTCTCTAAGGCGCCAGATGCCTGAGGTAGCAGGTAGACTGACTGAGTGCAAACGTTTGGTGTCCTTGCATAAACTGACAAAAAGTTTGGAGGCTTACTTTTGGGAAATTAAAAATAATGATGAAATATATCAGAGCCAAAACTATTCAGAAGCCAAACTAAGATTTACAAGATACAGTAAATTATAAAGCGATCAAGATCAACAGCTTATCAGTGGCAAGGACATAAGCTGCGTGCTTCTCATAATTTTCAGTTACTTCCTATCATTTCACTGGACACATAAACAACAGCACATTTAAATTGTGACCCTGTTTACCTCAGACGTCAAGGGCAGATTTGCACAGCTCTTTAGCATTTCAACCAAACAGGGCCACTTTCAGGACATTGCCCTAATTGGCTGCATAATGTGGACATCCACGCTCACACCGCAGACTCATTTTAGCTCCTCAATGGGGGTAAATGGTTCGGCATTAAGTTGAAATTAAAGATCACAAAAGGCCCGTCCTTCTTTCTCGGTGTCTGAGCCGGCGCTGCCAGGTCAGCTTAAGTGTGTTGAACAGAGAGTAATTGCGGGCAGTGTGGAAGTGGACATGATTGTGCTTTATCTCCATAAGTGTTGGCAGCTTGAAAACAAAGTATTGTGCATGGAGATTACAGCATGGACACACTCTAATGACTTTGGATCTGGTAGCAGACAAGAGACAGTAGATAAAGGAGTTTTGGTTGATCCCTGATCAGTATTCAGGGCAGCAGCAGGAAGGATAGGGGATAAAGCGGCATCTTTTAGAGATTTGAAGAAGATGATGATTTCATAAAAGCACTATTATTGTGATGACTGTAATGCACTGCCACCCTCTCAGTTCCTCCCTGTCTCGCTGATGTTTAGATACTAATCAGTTACTTGGGGAAAGCAGAAGAGCTAAAGCAACTTTTAAATGGCATTCTCACAAGCTGTAAGTCAGTGAATTCATTAGCTGCCAAATATAAGCACAAGGAGTTTGTAGTTTGAAGATTCTCTGCAGACTGGAGAAAAAATATCAGGATGGTCCCACACAAGACTCAACATCATACTATGGCTTTACTCCATCTTGTGGCTGGGCAGCAGTGCTGAGAAATGATTTGAACGAGGCCACCTGCTCTCATCTACGGCCTTTAATCAAATAATAATCCAATCAGGATCCGTTTATGCACGGCAATTATGTCCGCAGTTTGTTTACAATTGAAACTGGTCATGGAATAAGAAGTTCATTAGGCAAAGAATGCATCTGCGCTGGGCGTGTTGTGTGTCTCTGTGTGCAAATGTAATGTATATTTATGTGGGGTAGATCAGCAGCCCTCACAAACTGTTTGCATTTGTGTAAGAGAAAGAAAGAGACAGCAAGAGTCACTCAAGGTGAGTCCTTACTGTTCATTTTCAGGTTACTATCTGTGTGTGTGTGTGTGTGTGTGTGTGTGAGAGAGAGAGAGACAGAGAAAGAATTTCTACTGAAACTCTGAGTCTCCAGTCTTTCAGAGTCTCTAAGCTCTCTCCTGCAGCTGTCTTCACCTCCTGCTTGGATCTAACTTGATGTCAGTACAGAGAAGCAGAATGCGGGCAGCCGAAGCTGGAGTGCCTGCAGTTCCTTGTTTGCTGTCTGGTTTTGCTGCCTGCCTGACCCCTGTGGCCCTGGTCTAGACACTAATGACAGCCCACTGAGCCTAATGTCTCCTGTCCTAGCACACAGGAAAGAGCTGGGCCGGGCCATTAGCATCATCCCACTGACCAGACGCTAAGTCTTATCATGTCTGAAGTTAATTGAAGGCTCTGATAGCTATTAGTGCCGACCTTAGCTGATGGAGAAGAAATTTACTGGCCATGCAGCATTACTGCTATATCTTGCAAGATGCAGTCTGATTTAGTGGGAATACAGAGGAGCTTAAGGATAAAAGCATGTCTAATGAACTGTTGGATTTAAACTTTATTTGAGCAATATTGCCTGGTGCGACTCATCGTGAATCATTATATTCCTTCTCTGACTCAGGATAACTCACAGCTTCTGAGGGAGTCAATCACACGAGGTCAAAGCTAAATATAGTTTCCTGACACTTGCTTATAAACAGCAATGGGATTAGTGTCCCAAAGAAATGACACACAGCAATCTTCAATGACACCCATCCTCTCTCCCTCAAATGTCATCCCATTTCATCTCTTCACCTAATCTTTTCACCTCACTCCACTGCCTCCCTCTCCCAACGCTGAGTAGTCACATTCACCTTGGTGGTGTGCCAGTCCCTTGGCGTGCAGCAGGGATCTCTGTTATACACAAGCTTTTAGTTTGATTACATCTGGCCACTTCCTCTGTCCTTTATTTTTTCTGGAATAACTATAAACTGGGATACATCCAACAACAACCTCCTCTTGTCCTTTGTCATCGACATTCTTCATCGGTTACAAAAAAAAGGGCAAAAAGAAGAAGTCTGAATCACCTTCAAGGCAGAGTGGCGCAATTGCGACTGAGGACATAGGTTAGAATAAAAGAAAAGGATAACACGACTTGGAAAAAGCTGTGCAGTCAAGAGCAAAACTACTTTCATCTGCTCTCCTTCCCACTGGGGGCTTCTGAGCAGTGGGATAGGAGCAGTGCTGGGTATGGGTGTGGTGTTTCAGCAGTGAGACTCACAAAAATAAAAAAAATAAGATGGTCAGGAAAATCCGAGTCAGAGAAAAAGACAGCCTAGAGGAACATGTAAAAAGGGAGGAATAAGAGAGAACAGAGAGAGTTGAGAAATACGAGTGAAATGATGAGTAAAAGTAAAAAGAAAGCAACATCCACAGGGCTTCAAACCAAAGGATGCAGGAGACATATTGAATGGTGAAACTAACTAGCTATTGTTGTACACTAAGCTGCATTGCATTTTTTTTTTTTACCTGATGTCCTGCGCACTGAAAGGCACTACGTGGATACCCAGGGGCCCTCCTTCATTGGACACCTCCACCGGCTTGAGCATGCCTCTGCGGGACGATGATGGATGAGGCAGAGAGGACGGGGAGAAGGAGGAGGCAGGGGGGAGACATGCATGAATAACAAATAATAGGAATGACAAAAAAATGTAGAAAAGCAGGATATAAAAGACAACATAGTCAAACATGACAAGATGTTGATGGGGTGTATGGAATGGGGGTTGGTGCAGCCTTGTTGGTGGAGGCTGCATTGTGTTGTCTATACAAAGTCATTCATTACAAAGTCAGGCTGGAGGACCTCGAGGTCGATTCGGGACCCAAATGGAGACTCCAATTAAGTGATTAAGATCAGATTGTTGTGCTAAAAGAGAACAGATTAATTGAAAAACGTGCGCGGAAAGGAGGAGGAGGAGGAGAAGGTTAATTTGTGTGGATAAAGACGTGAAGACAAATGAACACACACAGTCCCTAACGCAGATGTGTGTGATGATGTTGATGGAAGAAGGCGTGGTCTTGATGCACACTTTGTGTTGTCATTGTCATGTGGTAATAAGGTTGTGTTTAGTGATAATGTTCTGGCAATTATTAACCTTTCTGGTATCACTGTGGTCAATTAAAAGGTCAGTTCACCCAAATTATAACAAAATACAGAAAATAAAAGTATTTTTTTGTAATTTGGGTGAACCAACCTTTTAAGACACACTGTATGGTGTATAAATAGGTGGTTAGGGGGGCTGCAGGGGTTCACTTACTCTAGGTTTAACACAGGTGAATGTTCCAATGAAGAATCAGCTCTCCCTACTGGCTCTATCCGTTCAATCCTCCTTTCTTGTCTCCTTTGCTCTTCTTCCTCCTCCTCCTAAAAAGAAAGAAAGAAAAAGAAAAAAAGACAGGATAAATCATTAAAAGACTGTTCCAGCAAAGTTAAAAACTCACCCTCTCTCTGTCATTATTTCTATTTGGCTGTGCTTGCATCTGCTCCTCTCATGCCTATATCTCTCCTCTGGCTTTTAATCCAATTACCTGCAGGAACAAGTAACGGCCTCTATTCTAAATAAAAAGAGACTTTCAATGGAGTACAGACTGGGGTACTGATGCTGCCGCAGAAACATCCCTCCCCAGCCAAAGTCTTCAGCGACTCTAGTGACAAAGTGGCCCTGATCGATTGCTCCTTCTCAATCAATCGGGTCCGGCCTAGGGCGTGGCACCACTGCCGGATTTTTGCGGTGATCCGATCAGGTCTGGAGTGAAGGAAAGTGGTTGCGCCCGCTGTCATTTGTTTCTCTCACTCTCTTCATTTCATTTACTCATCTTCCTTCAGGGCCATTAGGCAGCAGGGCTGGGAGGCGGTGGCTTTTACAGGCAAGCCAGACGTCTGAGGGCTTAACTAGGCTCTGGGATGAGACAGAGCAGCTTCATGCTCTCCTTAATGGGGAATAAAATCTTTATCTGAGCTCTCTTTATGGAGATGGTACAGATTGAGCAGGGCACTTACATGCAGTGATGACATGCTGCATGTAGAATAGGAGGGAGACATATTTAATAACGCCGGGTTCAATTTCAACTAATTATCATCTGTTGAAGGTTAGTTACAGGAGGAGCTGGGGAGGTTCATCAACAAGTGACAAGCACACTGAACATCAACATTTGATCAATTTAAAAGGAGACCGTAATTTCAGTTTTTGCTTCCAGTCCTGTTGGCAACTGCGGATCCTTGTGAATGTGTTTGTCTGTGTATATGTGTGAGCTTGTCAGCACCCAGACAGCGCATCGTCTCCTTGGGAGGGTCTCCTGAAATGCTTTGTTAGCCGCAGCTATTTCCCCGCCCTCACCCCTCACCTTCCTCTTTCTCTCTCTTTCACTAAAATGTCAAGCACATCCAAATAGGTTTTGTGCCTTGCTGGTTTCTTTATGGTAATGGGTTCAACCCTTTTCAGAGGCCGGGATATCTTTGGTGACACACAGGCGTGGCGCAGAGAGACTCTGTCCCCTATTTGTTCGGGGGGAGGGGGTGGGGGGTAAGGTGGGATAGGGGCATGAAAATTTCATCAGGAGTCTACCTTAAGAGACCTCGACTTATCTGTCTGTTTCCCTTTTCAAACCGTCCAGTATGAAAATGAGTCAGTCAACCAGTCACCTCCGCCTTTAATTACTGTCAGCTAAGGTCTCAGGTGCCTCACGGGGCCCGTTATTCACAAAGCTTTTCATGGAAACCTCCCAGGTGGGTTGGCTGTATTTTTTTAAATACATATATATATATAT